AGACCAGGGGTCCCGTGGGCCGGGGGGGGGCTGATGTCCAGGGATCCCGTGGGCCCGGCGGCCGGGGCAGGGCCAGTGAGGAGGGACGCACGCACTTCCCATCTGCCTGGGTTATAAGCAGAGGCGCGTGCTGGGCGGCCCCGCGGCCCCGGCGCTCACCTTGCTGAGCCCGTTCCACCTGTCCACGAGGTGGACGCGGCTGAAGTTTTTGATGCCCGTGTACACGGTGAAGAGCCCGGAGTTGGAGTTGTTGAGCTGCGGACACAGCAGAGAACAGCAGCGGCTCTGAGCCTCAGGAGCGGGGGCGGGGGGCACCAGGGGCTGGCCTGCAACCCCACCCCCGTTTCGTCCTAGGCAATCCCTGCGTCCCCACTGCTGGGGGATCGAGAGGAGAAGGACCAGCCCGGCTGGCGTGGCTCCGTGGCTGAGCGTGGACCCAGGCACCAAGAGGTCGCCAGTTCGATTCCCGGTCAGGGCACGTGCCCTGGCTGCAGGCTCAGTCCCCAGTAGGGGGTGTGCAGGAGGCAGCTGATAGATGTTGCTCTCTCTCTCTCTCTCTCTCTCTCTCTCTCCCCCCGTTTCCCTTCCCCTCTCTGAAATCCATAAAAACATATTTGGAAAAAAAGAAATTAAAGAGAAAAAGGGGAAAAAAAGGAAAGGAAAACCAGGCAGTTCGGGTCAGCGCTATCGTCGCCAATCACATCACGGGAGCCTGGATCAAACTGTGCCTGAACCCATCCTTTGGGTTTTCAGGTCCATGAGCCAGGAACTCCTCTGTGTGATTTAAGCCAGTGAGAGGAGCTGGGCTTTCTGCCAGCGACAACCTGCGGCCCCAGGGCCCCCCGCCAGCCCCCACGGCAAGCCGGTGGCTGGAAACGGGAGCTCTCCGTGACACGAGCCAGCAACAAAAAAATATGTATTTTTTTAAAAAGCCGGCGACTGGCCTCTGGGACGTGTGGATGGAGGACGAGGGAAGGTCTCCAAGCCGCGCCTACCTCCGCGAACAGCCCAAACTTGCCCTTGATGGGGAAGGTGCCCGGCAGGTACTTGTTGACCAGGCTGATGAGGGGGTCGTCGTAGCCCCACAGGATCTCGCCCACCGTGCGGTTCATGAAGGCGCGCTGGCGCAGGCTGCTGAAGGCAAAGGTCAGCAGCATCTTCAGGGGCATCGGCTTCCGCTCCATCATCATGGCCGCGCTCTGCAGAGCGAGGGGGCAGCTGGGTCAGGGCTGGGTGTGGCCGGCCCG